TGCGTATACTTTTCAGGTATATATCCACGGCAGTCTCCAGGAAATTAATATGATGAAGACACGAGTTCCCTGCTGGGCCTTGTAGCCCTATGGAGTTTAGACTTGGCGACGTAGTTGAAGTTTGGAATTGCTTTTGTTGTTAATGTTGTTTTCTTTATTGGATATTGTGTAGATTTATCGAAGTCTGTTTGGGTGTGTATCTACTGAAATACCGACGGTAGTATCTGGGAAATCATTACGATAAAAGGAAGAGATCCTTGCTGGGTCTGTGGAGTTTCGAAGTCCTTTGGAGTGGCGGCACCATAAGTGGGCGTGGGAGACTCACTAGTGGCGGTGGGAACGTCGCCTGGGGAATCGGACCTTCCTTACGTGGTTGCTCTAAGCTCCGAACCCTATGGAATTTAGAGTTGTCTACGTAGCTAATTTTTGAACTGTTTATGTTCTAACTGTCGTTTTCTGTATTCGAATTGTGTAGGGAGATATCGTAGTTTCTCTCATAAAAGTGGTTTTCTGTAAGCTCAGGAAATAGTGTTATAGGGTCACCCAAGCCTTGAGTGGTACGGGGAGTGCTTTGCGCTCGACCCCGGGTATTATGGGAATTCCTGCGCATAATTTACCACTGAATTATCTAGGGAAATTAATTTGTTAAAGATATGAGTTTGTGGTTGGATTGATGAGCTCCGAAGTCCTTTGGGGTGGCGGCACCATGAGTGGGTGTGGGAGACTTACTTGTGGCGGTGGGAACGTCGCCTGGGGAAGTGGACCTTCTATACGTGGCTGCTCGAAACCCTATGGAATTTAGAGCTGTCTACGTAGTTGTTTCTTTTTTAATCTGTTTTGTAGTTACTGTCGTTTCCTATATTGGAATAGTGTGGATCTCTCGAAGTTGGTTTACTGTCCTTTTTGTATTTGATTCGTGTAGATCTTTCGAAGTTGGTTTAATTTCTTCGTGAACTGCCTTGCACGTCTTTGAGTTTTGCAGATTATAATTTGTAGCTTTTGCCAATAGTTCCCGAATAGTGGTTGGCGGACTACTTCCTCCCACCTTTCTGGTTGGATTTTGTCTGGCAGGGGGAGGTTTCTCCAAATGTGGAGGAGGTTCGGCCAGAAGGGATCGTTGTGCAAGTCTTGCCTCGCCTCCCTTCTCGGGGAGTCATTGCCCGTGGGGTCCTGTCGGGGTCGCTTTCTCGGGATTGCCCAGTCCCTGTTTTCCAGCCATGTAAGGGGACTGGCATGGGACCTTGTTTCCGGGGCCAATCTAGAGATTTGTTCCAGTGCCAAGCTCTTCCATGGTGTGTTTGGGCAGAAGAGCAGGCGTTTCAGCCATTGTATGGCCAACGATTGAGCCTGTGTTGTCGGGTCTATGATACCTAGTCCCCCTTTCACTTTGGTTTGGGTGATCGCCAACCACACCACTCTACTGATTACCTTTTCTCTCGACACAAGCGGTCAAGTCCTGCGCTGAATGGATTCTCCATGGAAAGGATGGGTTAAAAAAGGGGTTCTTAGGATCGGGGACATCTGGGATGAGGACAGCAGGGACTGGATCACAAAGGAGCCCCTCAAGGAAATGCTGAGGTACTGCCACAGGCCGGAAGAAGCGTTGGAAACCGTGATAGAGTGTATCCCCCTGCAGTGGTGGGAAATATTGAGGAAGGGGCCTCAGATACGAGAAGCGGATTGGGTATCCATCCACGGGCGCCAGGGGGAAGTGGGTGAAGTGGTACGCAAGGAACCGCCAGATTCGGTGCTAGTAAACATCTTCGCAATCTGAAGTGACAACTCACTTTACAAAGCCAAACCCAAACATACAGAACTGGTGGCACAGACCAAACTCTCAAGAATCAGAATGCTGAAAGACGAGGAAAGACGGTGGGTGGCTTACTCCCCAGAGACACCGATCTCTCAACTGCCCCTCGACCCCGAAGAATGGGTATGGACGAACCAGGCACGCAGGGGCAAGGCTAGCACCAAAACGCTGTA